GGGCACGAACCCGCGTCCCCTGCATCGGCGGGCAGACTCCCAACCGCTGCGCCACCGGGGAAGCCCAGAAATCTTTTCTCTCCTTCACTTTTTTCCAACAGCGTCGAATGGTTTCCTTTCCCTGAAATCAGAGCTGGGAATCCACGTATATTTATCGTGGCCGGAAATGGTTCTGCTTAGTCCTCGTTCCTCTACCTTACCTTTCTTTTCCTCTCCCGCAGGTCAGCCGCAAACATGATGAGCACCAAGGCGTTCACCCTGGTCCCCGCCGTCGAGCGGGAGCAGCTGATGGGCGACAGGGAACGGGTGTCATTGGAGTGTGTGGAGTGCTGCGGCCGGAACCTGTACGTGGGCACCAGCGACTGCTTCGTGTACCACTTCCTGCTGGAAGAGAAGACCGTGCCCGGCGGGTCGGCCACGTTCACGGCCACCAAGCAGCTGCACAGACACCTGGGTTTCAAGAAGCCGGTGAATGAGCTGCGGGCGGCGTCGGCCCTCCACCGGCTGCTGGTGCTCTGTGACGGCTCCATCACCCTGGTCCACATGCTGAGCCTGGAGCCCGTGCCCTCGGGTGCCCGCATCAAGGGGGCCACGGCCTTCGCCTTGAATGAGAACCCGGTGAGCGGAGACCCCTTCTGCGTAGAGGTCTGCATCATCTCCGTCAAGCGCAGAACCATCCAGGTGTTCCTGGTGTACGAGGACCGCGTGCAGATCGTCAGGGAGGTGTCCACTCCGGAGCAGCCCCTGGCAGTGGCGGTGGACGGCCACTTCCTGTGCCTGGCCCTGACCACCCAGTACATCATCCTCAACTATAGCACGGGCGTCGCCCAGGACCTGTTTCCCTTCTGCAGCGAGGAGAAGCGGCCCATCGTCAAGAGGATAGGGAGACAGGAGTTCCTCCTGGCAGGCCCCGGCGGATTGGGTGAGGCGCCTCGGCTAACCTCGCCGACCTCCCCGGTCTCCCCGCGTTCCGTCCTTGAATTCACGCTGAGATCGGAGAGGGAGATTGTGGTTCTGAAAACAAACAGAACTGCACGCCCAGTGCTTGCACAGTTTTCATTAGATTGTTTTGTATGGAACAAAAATAGGCCGCTCTTAGAATCACATTTCCTTTGTGCTAAAGTGGAGCCTGAAGATGGCTCTGGGGAGAGAATTCCACTAAGGGGATAAGTACACAAAGAAGAATCTGTAAGACTCCTCTATAAGATTTTCTCCTGTGGGTGGGTTTCCTAGCGGATTGTTTTTATTCTCCATTCTGAAAGGAGCTGAGGGAGCTCACTTAACAGATGATTTCAAAGGTGGAGGCTCCAAGGGTATGTCCCTGATTTTCTCTGACTGACTGCAGTTTCATCCCACCAAAAAGCATCTAGCAGCTAGCTCCTTAAAAGGGCTTTAGCTGTTTGGTGTAGCCTTCCTCATTCTCCGCACTGCCCCCTAAGAATCAGAGCTGGCAATGTCATCTGTGGTCATGGTCGTGGATGGTTCACAGTGTGTGTGTCTGGGACAAGCAGGTGCTGAGACGAGTGAGTCTCCCTTAACACCGGTAGTCTTTAACCTGTCTTCCTGCCCTCTTATAACTTTGTGATGTCCGTGGCTATGGATGAGTAGTGCCTGGATCCTTTAAGTCCCAAGGGGCTGCCGAAGGGCAGCATTCTGTTGCCGTCCATTCCTCCTTCCTGTCGACTGGAACCTTCTGCAAGAGAAGCTTCTCATTAACTTGGTTTGCCCCCAGGGTCATCGTATAAGAAAGGCAGGAGAAGTAGGTTTTCGGAAAGATGACCCTTCTGTCTTCCCTAAGTGACGTGTCACCATGAATCATGGATGTAAATGTATGTGGTGCTTCAGTCCATCTGCCCTCTGGGGTGGTTTATTCAGGTCGACTGCAAGCCCCTTCCCCACGCCCCGGGAACTTTGGTATCTTCCTTCTTTCTGCTGTGACAAGGTGTCCGGGGTCCCTCTGTACGTTTCCTGCCCTAGATCTGGTTTCCGGCATTTCTCCAAGGACCCCTGATGTTTAGAGACCACAGTCTGGGTGCTGGAGGTGCTTGGGGTCTGTTGTTTCTAGGCCTCTTGGGTGGACAGAGCTGGGAAGTATGCATTATTTAAAGATAAAACCCATCATGAGAGCATATCGATGGAACAAGTTTGGGGCTACCGGGCCCTGACCCCGTCTGTCTGCGTGCCTGTGTCTCCTTCCGCCCACCCCCAAATCCTAGTAAATTCCCACCGTGACGTGGTTGTTCCTTTGATCTGCCCCGCAGGACACAGAGCAGAAGGACAGGACCGACACCACTGCGCCCGCCATGTAATCACCAGAAAACGTTTGATTGTAGTTCTTTTGTCCTCAGGGGACGGGCCGTGTAACCCGCTAGGAACGTGCAGTCACATTTCTGCGTTTAAAGTCACTGGGAATAGTTCCCATCCGTGTGGCTATGCCAGCAACGGGATATACAGTTAGACGGATGTGTTTCGTTTCACTTTCCATTTCTAGAAATTGCTTTCTCTTATTGTTTTCTTCTGTAAATACGTACAAGTTTCCATGTCAGATCCACACAGCAAGGTACACTCCCCTACTCTCTCCTTTTCCCAGAGGTAACCTTTATCAGTGTTTGTCCTTTCATTTTCAAATAAAAATGATAAATGAATGTATAGATATGTGTATCTCCCTCCTTCAGAGTTGCAGGCTGTCTCTCCCGTGTGGAGGGACCACCGTGCATCAGTCAGGCCCCGGTGGTGAGCATTTGGGTTTTTTTCCAGTCCATGGTATTAGTAGGAGCTTATCTGTTTGTATTTTTCCAGTGTAGCTGTGGGAAATCTTTCTAAAGATGGGGTTGCTGAGTCCACATGTAAACGCATGTGAATCTGGAGGGGGACGCTCCACCCACTCCCCCCCACCCCCGACAAAGGTGGTAGGTACCGTTTTTTGTTCCCCTGGCACCTGTTTCCCCTGAGCTTTGCTAGCAGCGTCCATATATTGTCAGACTTTCGTGTTTTTGCCCGTCTGGCACATGGGGAATGGTATCTCAGTGGTGTTAATCACATTTCTCCTTTTATAAGCAAGATGGAACATTTTTCAAGAATTTAAGAGCCATTTGCCTTTCTTTTGATAATTATCCCTTCTCGCTAGCTGTTTACTTCAGCATTTGTTATATATTTGAGATACCACCTTGTCTGAGACATGTTTCAAATATCTCCAGTTTTTACCCCGAAAAAGCGTTTCTTACACGTTTCTATATAATCAAATGTATTAACCTTTGTACTTTATTGCTTCTTTTCTGAGTCATAATTATTAGGGATGTTTCCCCCTCTCCCAGGTTGTAGACAGATTCACCCAGATTTTCTGCTCGTACTTTTATGGTTTCATTTCTTATAGTGAAGAGTGAATTCGATTTCATCTTCGTCTGTATGGTTGTCTGTTCTCCCCACACCTGATTCAGGAGTCTGTCTTTCCTCGCTGGTGGCGGTGGCTGCCTCTCAGGTACAGTCAGTTTCCTCACGCTGTTGGGCCTCGCCTAATGGGTTTCCTGTTTTGTTCCATCAGTCGGATTGCTTATTGATGAGCCAGAGCCTGCTTTAGCTGTAAAGGCTTTGTTGTGAAAACATTTGACTCCAGTATCCTTGTGTTGGTTTTAGTGTTCAGACTGAAGGGAAATGGTAGTCAATCATGTTCAGGCCTCATTTTTCCTCAAACTTAATCTGTCTCAACTACCTGGGCATCATGGTAAATGAACCAACCTTCTTAATTGTTGTTCTGCTTGTAATAGGTGTGATTATGAGCAAATTGGAGATCCCTTGTAAGCTCTGTAATACATCACTACATGCAGGCTCTGTGTACAACACAGTAATCACCACCATCATTAAAAGGCTTCAGAAATTGAGTTCAAGCAAATTACTATAATGAATGCATATGCACCATCAGACATATGAACGCCGTATGTTTTCATTTTGCCCACTGCCTTCCCCCCCTGAAGATCACATGTGCCCACTCGCCTGTCATGAGAAATTGCTCTTAGCTTTTTGCCTTAGCTTTTTTGTGTTTGTTTTGTTTTGTTTTTTTGGCGGGGCCGTGCAGCCTGTAGGACCTCAGTTCCCCGACCAGGGATTGAACCGGGGCCCCGGCAGTGAAAGCCCAGAATCCTAACCACAGGGCCACCAGGGAACTCCCTGCTTTAGTTTAAATTGTACCATTTTAAGCAGTGCTTTGTTGAAAATGTCATAATACAATTGATTATTGTGACTTTAAACTCTATCCTTGGATAATGCTTCTTGAAAAATGCAGATAATTCACCTATTCCGTACCCCTCATGGCCCCCCTTCCCCCTCCCAGCTCAGATAAGGGGGTCCACTGATATTTAGAGGGTGGAAACCGTCTAAATGGAAAAATAACCCAGTGGAAAACAATGGTTTTTAAAGGTGTACCATTTACAAACGTGGTACATTTGCAGGTTGACAGCACTTGTGTGCCTTTGACAATATAGAAACAATAGCGCGTGTCATCTGCTTTCAAGCATAGAATCGGTGGGTGGGTGTCAACAACGGTGCCCCTGTTCCTGAGTGGACCTGTGGCACCTTAACTCTACCTGACCTGGACCCCTGGTTGCCAGTTACTGCTCTGCTCTTTTATTCCCGTGAAATCCTCTGCTTTTCTTTATGTGTAGAAGCCTCTGTTCTTGATCTCTGGTTTCTGCCCTTTTCATTGCAAGAACATTCATGTCTGGTCCTCTGTGCTGCACAGTCCCTGGTCGGGTGATGCCCGGCCTTAGCGGGTAAGTGCGGCCACCCTGATTTAATTCCAGGGCGAGGCTGGACAGCGTTTTGGTGTCCGTGCTCCCATGAGAGCTGTGCTATCCAGAACACGGTTATTTGACCTGAAATTCACAGGCTCCTTGGGGTTGCTGTATGCTTGTGTCCCGTCACCAGGTTACATTTGCCAAACGTCTGGGTGCAGATGGTGTGCTTTTCTCTCCCTTCGGGCTCTTTCGCTGTCTGGTTCTAAATGCTCGGAAAATTCTAGAGAGTGCCAACCTCATTTCCTCCTGCAAAGCTCAAGCTTTGCACCTCGAGTTTCTCTCCCTCCACGTGTTTCCTGCTCTTTGAATACTTTGGCGATGCAGTCGTGGGGTAATTCAGACCTTAGTTACGTCCTCTCTGTGACTGTACAGTATCAGAGATGCCAAAGTCCATGCCTTCACTCTTGTGCCCTCTCCACCCCTGGCTCAGAACCCACCGCCCTGTCGGCCCCTCTTACCTGCTGGCGCTGAGCTTTCCGGGGTTTTCCACATTTCCACCGAACTCCTTGACTCCTGGTCTGCTCTGGAAAGAAGGAGGAGCCCTCGCCAGCCTCAGAGGAACCTCCTCTCCCCATGGCCTGGCCTCCCCTGGCTCTCCTGCTGCAGGAAGGGTGCCCTCACCCCTGAGGATGCACTGGAGCTCCAGGCGCCCCTCCCAGAGGTCCATGCCCTGCCAGCCCTGCATCCTGACCCCGGCTTGGTCTCAGACTCGCCCGATTGTGTTGGTCCTTATTCTGATGGCGCACGGTGGCCTTGACTCTCGCTCCCTCTATGTCAGGTGCCCAGTTCCATGATTCGCTCCGGAAGTTACCCCTCCTCGGTCAGACCCCCCGGCTGGCCTGACTCAGGCCTCCTTCCTGGTGACTGGCGGCCGCCTGGCCTCCCCCGAGTCTGGGTCTGTCCTTCCTTCCAGGCTCCTGCCAGGCCAGCCTTCCTAAGGCCCCTGTAACCCTGTAACAAGTTCAGCCTGACTTTCCTGGTCAGCGTTTCCTGCTCTGCCCCGAACTTGAACTTGACTTTCTGACCCTCAGCATCCCAGGCAGGGTTTGCTCTCTTCCGGGGCCACATACCCACTTCCCTGCATCCTGCGAACCCTCGTGCTTCTCGCCGCGGGGGCCCCCTGGCCTCCTGTCATCCTGCTGTGTCTGCTTTTTATCGGGAAGGTAGTTACCAGTGCATCTCCCCGAACCCCTTCACCGCCGGGAGCTCCTGGGCGCGGCTCAGGTCGGCTGTCGCTTTAAGCTGATGCTCAGCATGTGGATTTACAGCCCTTCTTGTTTGTTCTTATCTAATAAATGAGCTTTCTTTTCTGTTCCTGGTGGGTTCACCCGAAGCCACATACTCTTTCAGTGCATTATTCTCGATTTTACACTATTCTTAAAAACACCCCAGTGACCACTGTGCTTGTCAATTGGCCGTCGATTTAAAAGTAGAATCACTAGATTAACATGTCAGTGTATATTCAGTTTTGGTAAAGAATTGTTCTCCAAAAGTGTTCCTCATACCAAACCAACACTTGGTGCTGTTGGTCTGTAACCTTTGGCCAATCTGATGGGTGTAAGTTGGTTTTTTACTTTTTTTTTTTTAAATTTCTGTTCCCCTGGTTACTAAGGAACATGGGAGTCTCTTCAAGAATTTATTAGCTATTTGCATTTTGTTTTCTGTGAATTACTGATGCATATCCTTTGTTCTTCTCTTGAGTTAGTCTTTTTAGGAATGATTTTAAGAGACTTTTAAGGGTGGAAGGGAAATACTGAAGGGGAAGGAATGTGTTTCCTTCGTAGGGGATGCACTCTCTCTCTCTCTCTCTCTCTCTCTCTCTCTCTCTCTCTCTCTCTCTCTCTCTCTCTCTCTCTCTCTCTCTCTCTCTCTCTCTCTCTCTCTCTCTCTCTCTCTCTCTCTCTCTCTCTCTCTCTCTCTCTCTCTCTCTCTCTCTCTCTCTCTCTCTCTCTCTCTCTCTCTCTCTCTCTCTCTCTCTCTCTCTCTCTCTCTCTCTCTCTCTCTCTCTCTCTCTCTCTCTCTCTCTCTCTCTCTCTCTCTCTCTCTCTCTCTCTCTCTCTCTCTCTCTCTCTCTCTCTCTCTCTCTCTCTCTCTCTCTCTCTCTCTCTCTCTCTCTCTCTCTCTCTCTCTCTCTCTCTCTCTCTCTCTCTCTCTCTCTCTCTCTCTCTCTCTCTCTCTCTCTCTCTCTCTCTCTCTCTCTCTCTCTCTCTCTCTCTCTCTCTCTCTCTCTCTCTCTCTCTCTCTCTCTCTCTCTCTCTCTCTCTCTCTCTCTCTCTCTCTCTCTCTCTCTCTCTCTCTCTCTCTCTCTCTCTCTCTCTCTCTCTCTCTCTCTCTCTCTCTCTCTCTCTCTCTCTCTCTCTCTCTCTCTCTCTCTCTCTCTCTCTCTCTCTCTCTCTCTCTCTCTCTCTCTCTCTCTCTCTCTCTCTCTCTCTCTCTCTCTCTCTCTCTCTCTCTCTCTCTCTCTCTCTCTCTCTCTCTCTCTCTCTCTCTCTCTCTCTCTCTCTCTCTCTCTCTCTCTCTCTCTCTCTCTCTCTCTCTCTCTCTCTCTCTCTCTCTCTCTCTCTCTCTCTCTCTCTCTCTCTCTCTCTCTCTCTCTCTCTCTCTCTCTCTCTCTCTCTCTCTCTCTCTCTCTCTCTCTCTCTCTCTCTCTCTCTCTCTCTCTCTCTCTCTCTCTCTCTCTCTCTCTCTCTCTCTCTCTCTCTCTCTCTCTCTCTCTCTCTCTCTCTCTCTCTCTCTCTCTCTCTCTCTCTCTCTCTCTCTCTCTCACACACACACACACACACACTCTCTCACTCTCTGTCTAAGGCTCACTGCTCTGTCATCTTGACAGGGTTTTGGTTGGTGCTACTTACGTGACGAGAGCCAGTATTTTAAGTGTGAAGCAGAAGCAAACAAGTGTTGTACGTACAAGCATATGCTGTTTTTTGTTTTTATTGAAGGATATTTGATTTACATACCATGTTTTTAAAGGTGTTTTATGTCAAGCACTTTGAAAACTGACTTAAAATGGATTGCCTTCACTGGGTGGATGTGAATTTTCATAAACCCCAGTATCTGTGGACTCTATCCAGCTCATTTGGAAATGTCGTTTAGTGCTTTATGTACAAAATAGATGAACCGTGGTTGACTAAGGAAGTTATCATTGACAGACACTTAACAGCTCTCTGTTTTCACTTGCAAGATTGGTTGTATCCCGGCATCAGAGAGAATGTGTATCCAGAATTAGAATTGAACTCTGAACAGAGACAGTTCTGGATAGGAAGGCTTGTAGAGTGCCCGGCACACAGTAGGTGCTCAATAAGTATCTGAATGAGTGCGTTCAGTGTTGAGTGAATGTATAGGGAAGAGCTGGCACTTAGAGATGCAAACCCATTGGAGGACCGGATATGGAAGCAAGCTTGTGAAGCTTCTTAAATGGTGTGAAAGTCACTTTTCCCCACATGTGAGGACATGGGCTGTATACACCTTCATGTGGGTACGTGTACACGTTTTTAACGTCATGTTTAATTGGAAGGAAATACTGATGTAGACATCCTGGGGAAAGCGGCTCTCTTCACGAGAGTAGTCACGGAGGGTCCTTTGCAACGCCGCTGTTATATTATCTTACCCATCTCGAAATGTAATGAAGGGCAGGTATTCTGCGTTGAGACACATCTACAGAAAACAAACAAGCAAAGCCCAGCTCCTTGAAGCCCTCCTGACCCTTCCTGTTTTCCCAGGCATGTTTGCCACGGTGGCCGGGATATCTCAGCGCGCACCCGTGCACTGGTCAGAGAACGTGGTTGGAGCAGCCGTCTGCTTCCCATATGTCATTGCCCTCGACAGCGAGTTCATCACCGTTCACAGCATGCTGGACCAGCAGCAAAAGCAGACCCTGCCCTTTAAGGAAGGTCACATCCTCCAGGATTTTGAAGGTACTAGTTTCCACGGAATCTTAACAACATTTAGCTGTCAATCTGTTATGCTTGTATTTTTTCACTAAATGCTATTAAGGGTCCATTGGGAACTTGGCCTCTTGCTGAGCATGGAAGATCCACAGGCAAAGGTAATACAGTCTCTGCGCTTCAGGGGCACCGAGATTAAAGGGAGATAGTGAAACAAATAGCCACAGCAGTTTGAGAGCTTGATAGCAACAAAATAAGGCCAATTGGGAGAGCAGAGGAGGGAGTGTTTCCTAGAAGTATCAGGGAGGGCTTCCTGTAGGAGATGGTGTTTGAGCCAAACCTTTAAGGATGAGTAGGAATCTGCCAAGTGGATGTGGTGTGAAAGAACCTTCAGGCAGAGAGAAAGGCAGGCGCAAATCTGCACAAGAAGGAACTCTGGGCTCCGGGCCACGCAAGTGATTCACAGGGACTGTGGTGCCTGTTGTTATGAGGAGGGCTGGCCTGGGTGAGGTCGCAGCGGACCAGGGCAGCCAGGGAGGGAGGGATTTATTTTACTTTTCCTAAATTTTATTATGAACATCTTCCGATGTGCTGAAAAGTTGAAAGAAAAACAAACTGAATCCCTGCCCCCCCATTCACCTAGATTTTTTCGTATTGGTTCACATTCTGCTGAGCTGTTTGGAAGTCAGTGGAGAAGACCATGGCACTTAATCCGGAATCCTTCCGCAGGCATTTTCCCGCGTGATCACAAAGCCCTTTTCACACCCCAGAGATGTGCTCTCAGCCCCTGCCTGTGGTCAGATTTCCCTGGCTTCCTAAGAATGCCCTTGATGATATCCTCTTCAAACCAGGAGCTAATCTAGACCTGTGCATTGCCCTTGCCGTGTCGGGACTGGGGCTCCCCAGACATTGCCCTTCCTGTGTTAGATGCTGGGGACGCAGACCTGCTGAGTCTCGAGGTCCCACGTGAAACGTGTCAGGGCTTGACTGGGGCCCTGACACGCGTGCCGGGAGAGCTTATTCATGACAGTGTTACGTGCTGTGCACACTGAGGGGTGGAGGTGGGCACAGGGGATCGGTTGCGGGCACGCAGAGGCTGGCAACATAACCCACCCCCGGCGGGAACACGGGGAGGCTTCCCAGAAGGAGGGACACCAGTGCAGGGCAGGGGCAGAACCTCATCTGAGTGCGAGGACAGTGACGTAGCTTGACATGGAGGACAGATGATGTAGACAGAGAGCCGGGTAGGGAGGCCAGGAAGCAGAGATCCAGGCGGGGAGAGACCAGGTGGTGGGACTGGGATGCACACGATGATTCCCGAGGAGGGGGGAGCAGACGGAGAAGGAAAGGCTCTGCTGACCCTGAACGACCTTCAGACAGACAGACAAGGTCGTTCCACCGCTTCCTGGGAACAGGTGATAGTTTAGCTTAAAACGTGGCTCCAGAGGGAGCAGAAGTTGCTCTCGAAGCTTGGCAGGTGGAGCTGTCTTGGGTGGCAGGTCCGACTCCCCAGCGGACCGTGCCAGGCATCACGGTGCCAGGGGGCAGTGGGGAAGGGAGAAAGTAACGCCGAGATCAGGTGATTCTGGAGGACGGCCGAGTGTGAAATGTTATCTTATGGTTCAGACTGTTGTGTTGTAATCTTAATTTCCTGTAAACTGACTACCCTGGAGAGAAAAGAATTTTTCAAGAGTTTCATATGAGAGACAGCATGATTCTTACTGCTTATTTTCCAGGACTGAGCACTATAGCCTCATTATGGACCTACTCAAGTGGTTTTAAATTTAGCAGCACTTCAGAATAAAAAAAAAGGCCAAACGTTTTAATATCCCACACTTCGGAAATGTACTGTTAAGAGTTCGCCCTTTTCTGATGGTGGGAAGAGGAAAGAGACCCATTCTTTCTGGTTGCCGTGGGAGCTCGGGGTTGGGGCACTGTGATGACCTTGGTCGCACCTCTGCTCATGCTCTCTTTGGGCGGCGGGGGGTGGGGGGGGGGGGGTGGTGTTTTCTTGCCAGCACTATGTTCTTACCCTTTCCAACCGTGTTCCATTTCTTCCCAGGAAGACTGATCGTCGCCACGAGTAAAGGAGTTTACGTCTTGGTTCCGTTACCTCTGGAAAAACAAATACAGGATCTTCTAGCAAGCCGGAGAGTGGAGGAGGCTCTGGTTCTAGCGAAAGGCGCCCGGCGGAACATTCCAAAGGAAAAATTTCAGGTTTGTAATCAGCGGGCCCCCAGGCCGCCGGCTTAGAAAACGTTAGGATCTAACGTCTGCGCCCAGGCCCTGCAGACCGCTTCCTGTCCGTCATTCAAGTTTCTCTGCATCTCCACGTTGTACAGATAAGGAAGCAGGTTGCAGAGCAGCCGGACCAACAGCTGTAGGAAGTCACGCTGCTGGCAGAGGCCAAGTCGGGATTTGAGCCTCTGACATAATTCCCACGCCTAATTCACCAAGTTGTATTTCTTTTTTTTTTTTTTTTGGCGGTACGCGGGCCTCTCACTGCTGTGGCCTCTCCCGTTGCGGAGCACAGGCTCCGGACGCGCAGGCTCAGCGGCCATGGCTCACGGGCCCAGCCGCTCCGCGCGGCATGTGGGATCTTCCCGGACCGGGGCACGAACCCACGTCCCCTGCATCGGCAGGCGGACTCTCAACCACTGCGCCACCAGGGAAACCCACCAAGTTGTATTTCTAATCAGCGCCCTTCTTCCAGAGGAGCCTCAGGGCACAGTTGTTACAGACGAATGAAAAGAGGAACCTCAGGCTAATTTGTCTCCCAATTCAGAATTTATATTTGTTGGGATGGGGTTGAATTTGTCGAGGTTAGGTTTATGTTATCTACAGAAAAAGCTTTGTGAACCGCACCGATAAACCATCTAATGTTGCCGGAATCCATCTAATTCATTTCCATAGGAGAAAACTTTTAATGCATTTTAGAAACGCTAACTTTAATATCGTTGGTACGATCAATACAGTTGATGAAGAACACGCAAATTATTCTCATGTCTGATGAAATCAGGTTTCCTAAAAATTGCTTCCTGATCGGTTGCAAGGTGAGTTCGGGTTACTCTATGTATTTGAGAATAATAAAGCATAATATTGGTGTGTGCACGCTTCATGTGAACATCTAAGTCCATCATTAAAAGTTCTAGTGAATTCATAGCCATCCCCTTCTTGTTTCTGTTGGCCAGATTTTCAGGACGATGTGGTTTGTGGAATGAAGCTGTGCTTTCTGGCCTCGGTGGCTTTGTGCTGCAGAGGGTAGAGTCCGAAGGTGGAAGAACTCAGGACGTGTCATTTATGGTCACAGGCTAAATAGTGATAAACTTTCCATCTTTACTCCTCATTTAAAAGAATTTTATTAAAGTATAGTTGATGTACAGTGTCGTGTTCATCTCTACTGTGCAGCAGAGTGACTCAGTTATACACATATATTCTTTTTCTCATATTCTTTTCCAATATGGTTTATCCCAGGCTGTTGACTGTAGTTCCCTGTGCTCTGCAGTAGGACCTTGTTGTTTCTCCGTCCTACAGAGAATAGTTTGCATCTGCTAAGCCCACTCTCTCAGTCCTTCCCTCGCCCATCGTATTCCTCATTTTTGAGTGAGATGATCTATGAGCATTCAGCAGGGGGCAGCAAAAGCACAAAGAGGAAACCCGTCAGTTCAGGGCGTGTTTCTGGGCTGAGAGCGCCTGTTTCTGCCGCTCTTTCCTTGCGCATCCGCGTGGGGAGGCGGGTGCTGAGGCAGCCTTGGCCTCTGCTCTGCTGCTCTCAGCTCCTCTCGGTCCCGCGGGGGGGCCCCGGGAGCTCGTGGGTGTCTGGACGGGCACGTGTCGGGGGCCCCCTCCTTGCACACACCCATGGGCACACCTCAAGTGTGTCCCATTTTCTTAGAGAGGCTGCCCGTGTTCTTGGAGTTTTGCTTTTCTCCCGTTTTCCTGAGAGCAGCTGAGCAGTGGATAGTGGATGGTGTTAGCGCTCGTCTGGTTCTGCCGTCTGACATCCCGGTTGGGGTTTGTCCACCTAGCACGCTCCCCGCCTTCTCCCTGTGGTATGTGCCCCAGACGTGCACCCCCAGTGACCTTGAACTTGGCTCTCGTTCTCATGCCCACGTGGCTGCTGGGGACCCTTCTCCGTTGTGCCTGAATTGTTTTCACAACCCCTTTCCTGCGTGTCTGCAGTCCGTCCTCCACGGCCCCGCGGAAGGTGCTTTCTGACGTGCCCACCAAACCCTCAGCTGGAAATCCTTACGCGGGTGCCTCCCTGCCCACAGTCAAGTCTGCATAAGGTGGCCTTTGCGGCCAGGCCCTGCCTGCTTCCCCGGCGCCCCTCCCCTCCACTGCCTCCTTCCCTCGTGACCCCGGCCTGAGCTGCCCCCGCGCCTGAGCCCTGCACTGTGCAGGCACTCCGGGAGCCATCCTAAAACACTCCTAATCCTGAAAACAAGTCAAAAATAGCCAGTGCCACCATCCAAAGACCCACTGCAGGGATGGCTGGCCTCTGGGCATCCCTGGGTAAAGCCGGGCCAGCCTCGCTGCCCCATCAGCGCCCCGTGCTTTCACCCACCTCCCCACGCTCCCTGTTTTCTTTACTTGTTATTTGTGCTATTTTCTATCAGTGGACTGAACTTCTAAACTCCACCGAGTACAGGTTTCGATACCTTGCTCAGATATGCCCTTTTCTCTGAGTCCATCACATCCCTGAATGCTTGCTCTGTGCTCCCACAATTACACGTGTTAACCTGTGGCCAGGGCCTTTTGTTTTTTGTGTGTGTGTGTGTGCGGTACGCGGGCCTCTCACTGCTGTGGCCTCTCCCGTTGCGGAGCACAGGCTCCGGACATGCAGGCTCAGCGGCCATGGCTCACGGGCCCAGCCACTCCGCGGCATGTGGGATCCTCCCGGACCGGGGCATGAACCCGTGTCCCCTGCATGGACAGGCGGACTCTCAACCACTGCGCCACCAGAGAAGCCCCTCAAAAGTAGTTTTTATTTCCCTTTAGGAAGGGCAAGAGTGGGTGACATTTGAATCCTGCAGCCATGAGGAAAAAATTGTCATTCAGCGGATTTCTCATCAGCAAGCTTGAGTGTGAATGAGAATTCTTCTGCCGCAGCTGACGGATCCTTTTTATCCTTCTTGCTAAGTGGTTGGCATTTGTTGCTTCTCCTTTCAGAGACGGAACTGGCATTCCCTCACAACAGAACCTGGCCTCGCTCCTGTCTACTTATTGCTGGCGGCCTACAGAGGCCAGTTTTCCCGTCAGACGTAGCTGGTGTCGGGGAAGAGAGTCATGAAAAAGCAGCTGCCTCTCCTGCCGTCTCTGCAGGAATTGCTCTGAAGGGACGGGAGGAGGTGATGCTGTGCTTTGGAGAACAAGCCCCTCTGAAAGCTGATCAGAAGCAACAGCCTTTAGGTGTCTCCATCTCCCTCGTTTCTTCAGGGGTAACAGTGTTAGCCGCCTGCTGTGTACCTGGGTGAGCCCGTGAGAGGGAAGAACTGGGCTCTAGGAGCAGAAAGGTCCGGGTTTCAACCCTGGCTCAACCACTTACACGTTAGTAACTCTGGGCTAAAAACTTAGCATCTCTGAACAGGATGTTCCTATCTGTAAAATGGGCTCAGCGAGCGACAAAGTGGAGTTTCATAAAAACTGATCAGGTCAGTAGGTGATTACTTAAACGGCAGGTACTCTGCCAGGGTGTGGGGATGCTAAGATGAATTATGTACACGCCTTCAAGGAATTTATGGCATATCAAACAGCGGGACGGATTGGAAAGGGGAGGAATTGAAGTCCTAGGGTCTTAAGCATAGTTAGAGTCTTTAGTTGTGAGGTGGTGAGGGCCTGGGCTGAGGTGATGGAGCCAGTGAGGACAGAGCAGAGACGGGTCCACAAGGCCTTTCAGACAAAGGCGGACAAAGCTTGAAGCTGACCAGCTGGACAGTGACAGGGAGGGGGTGGAATTACAGACACCACAGGGTAGCTTCCTTAAGTGCGTTGCTATTTCTGGAAGTTACCAGACCAAAGGGCTCTGTGGTCCAGGAAATTTGGGTAGGACTGGATTAGACACAGATCAACGGCACTTTGATTGCAGGAATCCTCGGGCTGCGGTGTGGATGTGGCTGTGTTCACCGTTGGGGGGAGGGGACAGAACGCACAGTGTCTCCCAAGCTTCGGCAGGAAAACCTGCGTATTTATCTGTTTATCATTGAATGGGAGGGGGCCTTGTGCTCCGGAAGGATGCTCAGCAGTGCTGGTGTGAAGAGTCCGTTCCACAAGAATGAAGGAGGATGGGCAGCTTCCGGGCTCCCAGGGCCACCCGCGGGCCATGTTCACATCCGTCTGAGCACCAGAGGTGGAAGCAATCAAGAAAGCCAGGGAGTGCGGGAGGAGGAAATACGGATCGGGACGGATGGGAAATCCAAGAAGAAGAAAGAACGATGCTTAGACAGAGAACAACTTGGTCGCAGGAATGAGCGGTTGATTGACGTGTATACGTGTGTATGTTGAAAATCATTTCGTATAAAAGCCTCGTTTTTTCCTTACCTTGTAAATTCAGGTTTGCATGTAATGGTTAACAGGTAGCCTGGATTATGACCAGAAACTTAGCTTCGCCTCCTGTCGTGGTTCCAGGGCAGGTCAGAGCGATGAAACCTGTCTTTCCCTGCAGGTCATGTACCGGCGGATCCTGCAGCAGGCGGGCTTCATACAGTTTGCACAGCTTCAGTTCCTGGAGGCTAAAGAACTCTTCAGGTAATCTGAGGTGTCGGTAGCAAAAGCCTTCCAAGTGCCCCTCCGCGGTCAGACCTCCACTGTGGCTGTGATGGGAAAGGCCGCCGTGGGCGCCGTGCTCCGGGGATAAGTAGCGAGGCCGTCGTGTGTACACCCCTCGTGCCCCCTGCCCCCCTTGGCCCGAGGGTCGCTGTCCTGTGTCTTGAAGGTAGGGCCGATGAGGCACATACAGAGTGGTTCTCTAGGAGAGGAGAAGGCAATTCTTTTTTTTTTTTTTTATAAGGAACGTGGAATTTTTTTTTTTAATTTGTTATTTTATTGACTGATTGATTGATTTCGGCTGTGTTGGGTCTTAGTTGCTGCGAGCGGGCTTTCTCTAGTTGCGGCGAACGGGCTTCTTATTGAGGTGGCTTCTTTTGTCGCGGAGCACGGGCTCTAGGCGTGTGGGCTTCAGCAGTTGTGGCACATGGGTCTCAGTAGTTGTGGCTCGCAGGTTCTAGAGCGCAGGCTCAGTAGTTGTAGTGCACGGGCTCAGTAGTTGTGGCTCGCGGGCTCTAGAGCGCAGGCTCAGTAGTTGTGGTGCACGGGCTTAGTTGCTCTGCAGCATGTGGGATCTTCCCGGACCAGGGCTCGAATCCCCTGCGTTGGCAGGCGGATTCTTAACCACCGCGCCACCAGGGAAGCCCGAGGAAGCAATTCTAAAGAGCGTGTTTGATGCCCTGTGAAGGATTCCTAGGAAAACACGATGGCTCGCTTTCCGCGCAGGCTCTAGTTGTGGTGCACGGGCTTAGTTGCTCTGCAGCATGTGGGATCTTCCCGGACCAGGGCTCGAATCCCCTGCGTTGGCAGGCGGATTCTTAACCACCGCGCCACCAGGGAAGCCCGAGGAAGCAATTCTAAAGAGCGTGTTTGATGCCCTGTGAAGGATTCCTAGGAAAACACGATGGCTCGCTTTCCCTTTCCTCCAGAGGTTTTACCAAAAGCTCTGAGTTTAGAGAAAGAGCAGGTGCTTCTGGAAAGACTTGAAAAACCGTTCTTCTGAGGACATTGTAAACGGCATGCTCCTGGCCCATCGTCTTAGGAAGCTGAGGTCCCTTCCGCGTGACATGGATCCTGCACGCGTGGGCCGCCCCCTTCACCAGCACCCATCCCACCCCTCTCCCTCCCCAGCCCAGGCCTGTCTCAGCCCCTCCCCGCTCCAGCAGCCCTTCCTCTGGGCTGGGGGTCAGGTGCGCCCTGGGAAGCAGTGGCTCTTCACGCTCGCTCAGAAGATGAACTTAAACCCGCTGTGATCGCCCTTCAGTGTCCCACGAAGGCATCGCCTGTGGAAGTTTTCCAAATGTCCACGGAGCACAGATTCCGCACGACTCAGAGCCGTAAGGGGGGAGATGTACACGGGGCCTCCTCCGGATCTGCCTTTGATCAGAGCTGCTGTGCCTCCTGCTGTTTCCCCCCGCCTGCGTTTGCGGGGACCCACGTCCCACCGCAGCACTGGAGGTGCCATGTCTGCGGCCGCCGAGCCCTCTGCTCTGTCGTGGGGTCTGGGGGTGGGCGGTGCCCGGCTCGCGGTGCTTTGCAGCCCGAGCAGCTGCAGACGGCGTGCAGACAGGGCGCCCGTCCAGCGTCGTCTTGCGTGCCTACGTGCACTCTCTCTTTTTGCTTCATTTAGTTTGACACTGTAATTGCAGAAGCGGCCAACTCGACGTGCGGGAGCTGATCTCCCTGTACCCCTTCCTGCTGCCCACGTCCTCCTCATTCACCCGGTCCCACCCTCCTCTGCACGAGTTTGCAGACCTCAACCAGCTGACCCAGGGCGACCAGGAGAAGGTGGCCAAGTGCAAGCGCTTCCTCATGAGCTACCTGAACGAAGTCCGCAGCACGGAGGTGGCCAACGGCTCCAAGGAGGACATCGACACGGCCCTGCTCAAGCTGTACACGGAGGCTGACCACGACAGCCTGCTGGACCTCCTGGTCACCGAGAACTTCTGCCTGCTCGCCGACAGCGCCGCCTGGCTGGAGAAGCACAAAAAGTGAGTGTTTCTGTGCCCCGAACCCGGGGCTCCCTGCCTGGCCCTTCCCCGCCCCCACCCACGGGAAGCTGTCGTGCAGCTGACGCACCAGCATGACTTCCGAGTCCCAGGCATTCATCAAGGGACCACCCGGCACCCCGGGATCTATCAGCCTCATCACGGTCTGCAGATCCACCGCAGGGGTCTTAGAGGGCACAACTCTCGTGCCAGCTCCTTCCTGACAGATCGTACAGTCATAGGCCTTGTTAGCCAATGGTGTGCTTGGGACTCTGGGTGGGACTCAGCTGTGCGAGATGCCACATGCGTGTCGGTAAAGCGATAGCGCGCTGCAGCCACTGATGGCCAGACTGAACGCACAGATGGGCATCTGGATAAACAGATAGAAAGGGAGGCTTCTGGATCTTGTGGATAAAAGGTTACGGGGTCAAACTCCTTCATTACAGACGTGAGCTGGTCGGCACCCACCCGCTTGCCGACCGGCCGCCGGGTACAATGGGGGCCCGTCTGCAGTGATGACGTGGTTAAATCGGGCAGCTTCTTTGTCCTGGGGGCGGGCGGTGGTCTAACCCTTCTAGGCCTGGGGGCGTTGAGTGCTCCCTGTAAGATTCTTTGTCTGTGACTTTCGGCATGCATTTGACATGGCGGAGGTGCTGGTGAAATTCCACGGAGACCCAGGCTCACGATCCAGACCCTGTTCAGATGCAGGACGTCATGGGCTGGTGACTGGCCTCCACGTGGGAAGTGGATCGTTCAGCCGTTTGCCTCAGTTTCCCGGAGGCACTGTGGAATGGAGTGATTTATTTAGGAACCAGAAAATGCACTGACAGCTTATGGCAGTGACTTGGGATGGCAGGGTCCTGCGGAGTCAGTGTAACTTTCTAAAAGCTTTCGGGAGAAGAGAAGGGTTCTAGGGAATAGTTCAATATCTTGAGAGGTCGCTCTTCGAGGGAAGAAATCCGATGGCCCCCTGGGGCAGCTTGATCCGGTCACCTGCTGGGGAAGAGGGCCAGGAGAGGACGCACCTGTGAGCGTGGGAGGGTGGCTATAGCTCACGGCCCGGGCGATGCCCGTGTTGTCACTGATCCTGTCCACTTACAAATGAGGAGGCAAGGGCCAAGGAAGGTAACCTACTTGCTCAAGGTCATACAGTCCCTAAGTATCGAAGCCTGGATTGAAAGTCAGGGCCTGGAACTCTGGGTCCCCCCAGCCCGACTCTCCCTCACCTTCTGTTCTCTGCAATGCCTGCATACTGTTGGCATTTATTGCCGTTCAAAATCCTTACCCCAGAATGGCTCAGACAGCATCCCTTCCAAACGGTCTTAATACCTCATGATAAGTTAATAATGGTTAACTGAAGAGATGGCAAGTCACACTAGTATTTGAAGCAAGTTGTAAAGCAATTCCAAATGTGATTTTCCATAGTATCATTATAGTTTTATTTTTCAGCTCACCTTAGATGTGAACACGGTCCTTTCTGGAAATTGATAGGGAATACATTTTCAGACTATAGGTAAATAAACAGAAAGGAGGATCTTTCCGGTGCTTGAAATTTGTTGTTGAACTGAGTTGAATAGCACATGTGGGGCTGGGGGCCTAGGGCCGAGGGCGTTGCTGTGGGGGTACTGCCCGCAGTGGGTGGTCAGGAGAGGGTGCACTTACCTCGAGTTTTCTTCCAGGTACTTTGCACTGGGGCTGCTCTATCATTACAACCACCAAGACGCTGCTGCCGTTCAGGTGAGTTCAAAGGCATCTCAGCACTGTTTAAAAATCACCACCATTTAACTTAGCAACTAAGTTGCTAAGCAACTAAGCCCGTGTGCCACAACTACCGAGCCTGCTTGAAAAAAAAATCACAAATTGATAGAGACCAGTCTTGCCTGATCTACAACCTTTTTTACAAAACAAAAAGAGTGCTGTTTTAGAAAGTGAATCCTTGAGAAATGTTGGCCAAGGATTTTCTTTTTTTCCTTTTCTTTTCTTTCTTTATTTATGGCTGCATTGGGTCTTCATTGCTGTGCACAGTCTTTCTCTAGTTGCGGTGCGCAGGCTTCTCATTGCGGTGGCTTCTCTTCTTGTGGAGCACGGGCTGTAGGCACGCGAGCTTCAGTAGTTGTGGCTCGCGGGCTCAGTAGTTGTGGAATGCAGGCTCAGTAGTTGTGGTGCATGGGCTTAGTTGCTCCGCGGCATGTGGGATCTTCCCAGACCGGGGCACGAACCCGTGTCCCCTGCATCGGCAGGCGGACTCTCAACCACTGCGCCACCAGGGAAGCCCCATCTTTCCATCTCTTTAAAAAACATTGTCAAGACTGAGTTGTTTAAAATGTAAGAAAAATAGGATTTCTCACTGAGCCACAAGACCTGTGACTCCACTGCCTTATCAAAAATTAAGGCTGTGAGTAACAGGTTGTAATTTCCACTGTTAACGACAATAAGTCTTGCCAGAGAACTGGGTTGTCATGTCATCTGTGACAAAACTAAAGCTGATCAACGCCAGTCACTTGCCCCGGTGGCACCGCTGGTCAGCAGGAGAGCTGGGGACTGAGCCAGTGCTTGGGGCCCTGGCAGGGGCTCTTGCGCCAGAATTTCTCATCTTGTCTCTTGTCTTTGCATCTTTTGTGAGCGGCCAGGAGCATCAGCAGTGCTCACCAAACTCACCAAACGTATCCGGTGCTTTGAGAAGTTACCATGGTAACACGATTGTGGAATAGGTGAAAAAAAAAAAGTTCCCATCAACATACACCCCACGGCTGAGAGCAGATTTGGCGTCAAAGCTAAACTTTTTATTATTTTAAAACACCATGTTCTGAGAATTTGTTACAAGTATGTTAATAACATTAGCAAAGCTACATAGACAGGAGTTTACAAAATTGAAATAATACGGAATAAATCACCATATATGGCAGAATTTTTTTAATGACACATTTCAATGGCTGTGTGAACAGTTTGTTTGATTTGGGGAATTCAGCGCTGAAGAAACTAGTAACATAAAAAACATTGGTGTGCTGCTACCAGAATTACGGCTGCCTGTGACAAAACTAAAGCTGTTTACACTGCCTGCCTGTTTCCTGGGCTGCTTGCTGGTATATGGTGTGGTTCAGAAGTCAGTGTGGACAGGTGGGTGAGGACCACGGCACAGACGATGATGCAGGGGGGCTCTCAGGCAGCCCCCATCTCTGCCACACCTCGTGATGCCACTTCATTCTGAGGCTTTGAAAGTAAGATTCAGTTTACAGGGACTTCCCTGGTGGCGCAGTGGTTAAGAATCCGCCTGCCAATGCAGGGGACACGGGTTCGAGCCCTGGTCCGGGAAGATCCCGCGTGCCGCGGAGCAGCTAAGCCCGTGCACCACAACTACTGAGCCTGCGCTCTAGAGCCCACGAGCATCAACTACTGAGCCCGCACACCTAGAGCCCGTGCTCCACAACAAGAGAAGCCACCGCAGTGAGAAGCCTGCACACCGCAATGAAGAACAGCCCCTGCTCGCCGCAACTAGAGAAAGCCCGCGCGCAGCAACGAAGACCCAACGCAGCCAAAAATAAATAAAAATTAAATAAAAATTTAAAAATAAAAACAATAGTACATATGCACAGTGGAGCATTAAAAAAAAAGATTCAGTTTACATGGCAGGGAAGTGTCTGGATGAAATAGCAAAGGACTTTATTATTAAAATCTACCCTGAGCCCCCATGCAAAAGACAGTAGGAACACCAGGTCACAGGGTCACCAGAGGTTTTGAAAGCACATCAGACTCTCACAGTCCCAAAAGGTCTTCAAAATTAGAAATTCCTGTGACGGAGAAGGCTAAAACAGCCCGGCTGATTGGTGTAGGTGAATTTCTTCTTTGTCCAAACATTGTCAGTGATGATTTTATTTCAGGAAGAGACATTTTTTAATGCATCCAAGTCTCCTCATATACTATATTTACTATTTGTATTACTGTGAGATCTCATTAAAAAGGAAAGAAAAAGAACTTGGTGCTCTATGTTCCTGATTTCCTGGACCGCATCCCCTCTTTTTTTTTTTTCACGTGTGTGAAAAAATTAAAATGGATTTAAGCCTCTAAAGTTTCTCCTGCCACTTTGAAATATTGAAAGGCCAGACAAACGAACACACACCCTTTCTGAGCTAATTCGAAGAGGTATGTAACCTTCCCTACCTTCTTTTTTATTCCTCTTCAGCTGTGGGTGAGCATCGTGAACGGGGATATTCACGACTCCACACGCTCAGACCTGTATGAGTACATCGTGGATTTCCTCACCTACAGCCTCGACCCGGACCTCGTGTGGCAGTATGCTGACTGGGCCTTGCAGAAAAATCCGGAGGTTTGTGCTTTGTAAACACACTCGTTCTGGGGCGGCAGGGGGACTGGTGAAAATGGACAGAAAAGTTGATTCTAGGTGGGAAAACAAGCTACACTTTAACCCTTCTCTCCGCTTCCTCCCCCCCCCCCTTTTAATACATGGCTTGAGCTGTCTGAATCCCGGCTCTTGAGGAATTTCGGTGCTTCTGCCCACCTGTGTCAGGGGCAGGCCACTGTGTAGGAAAGCAGAAAGCACCGCAGGTCAGGTCTTAGCATCTTTTTAAACACCCGTGTGATGACCCCCACGCCTAACGGCATCTGGTCCCTTGTTCTCTGCGGGCTGGAGAAAGACCAGACTGTCGCGCTGCAGGCCGTGGAGCCGGGCCTGGGGCACACCAGGCAAACCGTCGCCCTTGCTTCTATGTCCCCAGCCCCCTTTGGGGGGGTGGGTTGGGGACATAGAAGGGCCCTTTTTTGTTGTTTGTTTTCATGTTATTTTACTAATCCTTAAGGGAAATGTAAATCAAAACCATTTCACACCCAGTAGGATGGCTAGAATTTAAAAGACAACAGTAGCACATCAGCAAAGATAAAGAGGGATTAGAAGTCACATCCATTGTTGGTGGGAAAGTAAAGCAGTGCTGCAGTCATTTTGAAAGACAGTCTGGCAGTCCTACAAATGGTTAAACAGAGTTACCGTGTGAGTCAGCGATTTCACTCCTAGGTATGCATCCAAGAAAAATGAAAACCTTTATTCACATAAAAACTTGTACGTGAATATTTATGGCAGTATTATTCACGACAGCCAAAAGAAAGAAAAAAACGTATCCATCACTTGATGAGTAGATAAATAAAATGTATATGCACAAAATGCAATATTACTTGGCAATAATAAATGAAAGGGGTTCTTTTTAGTATTTTTAAAAATAAATTTATTTATTTTTATTTATTTACTTTTGGCTGTGTTGGGTCTTTGTTGCTGTTGCGTGGGCTTGGGTCCCACGTGGGTAATGCACACAGTGGGTATATGGGCGTTTGGAGAATCGAGTTCACTGAATCTTCTTTCACTTATGATCCAGCAAGTGACCGTCTTTGCTTTGGATGATCTAAATGTTACAGAGTTGTTGCTTCATGGATTGTTAAAACCTACCGCCAATAAATGTTTGGTTCCTTAGTTTCGGACCCTTTTAGAAGGAATTCCAGCTGGAGCTCTGCGGCATTTCCTGTCTCTGTCAGTGCTTCATCTGCACTATTTTTCCGAATCGTCATGTTTTTTTGTTTGTTTTTTTTTTAATGTGGACCATTTTCAAAGTCTTTATTGAATTTGTTACAATATTGCTTCTGTTTTACGTTTTGGTTTTTTGGCCGCGAGGCATATGGGATCTTAGTTCCCCGACCCGGGATCGAACCTGCAACCCCAGCATTGGAAGGCGAAGTCTTAACCACTGGACCACCAGGGAAGTCCCGCAGATCATCATGTTTTTGACAGTGGTTTTACCCAAAGCGTACAGTGCTCAGAATGAAGATAAGATGGGGTCTTTGCAAAGCATGATAAATAAATTGCTATTCTTCTTTCAGGTCGGAGTTCAAGTTTTCACCAAGAGACCTGTGGACGAACAGCAGAGTAGATTTAACCCAGATGATATCATCAGTTGCCTTAAGAAATACCCGCAAGCCCTGGTCAAGTACCTAGAACATCTGGTCATGGACAGGAGACTGCAGGTGAGGCCCCAGAGCGCAGGCTGAGCTGTGTGGGCTGCGGTGGCATCACTGGGACCTGAACTTGGCCCATGGGTCTAACGTAATGTCTCGTGTTCCCGGCACTCAGTCTGTAGGCGTGGGAGGTCAGGGAGGGAGCCGGATGTTCGTGAAAGAGACCAGCGGCCTAAGTAGCTTTTTTTCTCACCTTCCATCTCTTGTTCCCTCCGCTTATATTTTCTTCTCTTTTCCTTCCTTGTTATTCTTTTTTTTTTTTAGAGGTTTTTTTTTTCCTTGTTGTTATTCTTAAAGGAAATGAGGAAAGCTGTCCCTTTTTTGGAGAATACCTAAATCCCGTGGCCCTTACTTCTCAAAATGAGATATTTTCCCAAAGATTTTAGATTCACCTTCTCTGTGTCGTGGTTTCTGAAAGCTTTTGCCCCAGTACGCGTGTTCTGTGGTTGTCCTGTAGCCCCCGCTCACCTTGCACGTCCAGTCTCAGGCACCTGCTGGCTGGTTGGTTAGGGTGCGTTCTCTGGGCTCCCCTAGCAACTGCTGTCTGTCTGCTTGTCCTCCTGTCCTGTAGAAGGAGGGGTACCACACGCACTTAGCCGTCCTCTACCTGGACGAGGTGCTGCAGCAGAGGCCCAGCGCCAGTGGCAAGGATGCAGAAGTGACCGAGACACAGGCGAAGCTACGACGCCTGCTCCAGCAATCCGATTTGTACCAAGTGCACTTTCTGCTGGGTGAGTGCATCTCTCTGCATAAACGTCACCGGCGGGAGTGGGGGGTGGGGGCAGGGACGGAGGCCTTGGCACCTCTTCGTCTCTGTTCGGGGGCAGGGGGTGGATTGTGAGCCTCTGTGGCACAAAGTCAGCCTCCTGGAGGGCAGGTGAGCCCCCTCGTCCGTCCTCCACCCTCTGGAAACGGATAGGGCCCCTTAGCTGATGACACGAAGGCTGCCCTGGGCGTTGGGAGGTCTGCATGTCTGCTGAGCCAAGCTGCTTTGAACTTGCTTATTCGGCTTTGAAGCCCTCAGGTCAGTTCCTTCTGAGGCTCCAGCTCTGATCACGGCTTTGAGGGTGGCACTGCCCCCAGCCACCCCACTCGGCTGCCCCATGCTTGGAGGAAGGCGGGGGTCCTGGAGGGGGTCTGGTTTTCCTTTCCTCCAGGGCAGAAAGCACAGTGTCCATGTTGTGTACGAGCCTCAGAGCAGCACCTGGCAGACTGAACTTGTCTCTTGCTGTATCGGGCACCGTGGAATTTCCAGGTTGTCCTTACTGGGTGAATACATCTCTCTTTAGCAGCTTTTAACACCACTCTCTGACCATTAACTGCACCCATTCTCATTGCTCGCGGTGGTTGTGTCCTGTAGAGTCTCCACAACTGAGTTCTCGGACGCTGAGCCATCATACCCGGAGGAGTGCAGGCTCAGGCTCCTGAGAACCTCTGGTCGCATCATTTTCACCAACCGATCAATATGTAGCCTTCTTTATATGTGTTTCTGCTTAAAGGCACCTTATTTAATGTATGTTGTTGATTCGATGACGCTGAGCTCGTGGCCAGCAGGACATGACTCAGGCCTGAGTGATGCTCGTGTGACACGTGTACTTTGTCCTAAGGCACGTGGCAGCCCTCCTGGGAGGCTACGTGGACATCCCTAAACTCTGGGTGTCAAGGCAGCCCAGGTGGCAGAGTTCAGGGGCGTCCAGGCAGCCCAAGTGGCAGAGTTCAGGGGCGTCCAGGCAGCCTGGGTGGCAGAGTTCGGGGGCGTCCAGGCAGCCCGGGTGGCAGAGTTCAGGGGTGTCCGAGCAGCCAGGCTTGCTCTGCCCATTCTTAAGCGTGTGGCCCATGCAGTTGTGGCGTTGGATTGGCACCACCTGGCGCGGGCCCTGCCGTTCCTAACCAGCAGGCCCCACCTCACAGACAGGATCCGGGGCGCCGGGCTCCCCATGGAGAGCGCCATCCTGCTCGGGAAGCTGGAGCAGCATGAGGAGGCCCTGCGCATCCTGGTGCACGAGCTGGCCGACTTCCCGGCAGCGGAGGGCTACTGCCTGTGGCGCTCCGAGGGCCGGGCCCCGCCCTACCGCCGGCGGCTCTTCCAGCTGCTGCTGGCCATCTACCTGGGCCCCGGCCCCTCTGCGCCTGAGCTGGCCGTGGCCGCCGTGGACCTCCTGAACCGCCGTGCCACCGAGTTCGACGCGGCCCAGGTCCTGCAGCTGCTGCCGGGCACGTGGTCGGTGCAGCTGCTCTGCCCGTTCCTGACGGGGGCCATGAGGGACAGCGTCCATGCCCGGAGGACCACTCAGGTGGCTGTGGGCCTGGCCAAGTCCGAAAACTTGATCTACAAGTATGACAAGGTGAGAGCCCGGCCCTCTCGGGCGAGATGTGTGATTTGAGGTCGGTTTTACCTGTGGGAAAGCAGTCCTTGTCCGTTTCTTCTCTGTAACTTCAGCACACGTGATTTCTTCACACAGACATAGGTGTGTGAGCCCAGGAGGGAGCCGGGCCAGCCGGTGTACGGTTGGGGCAGCTTCCCTCCCCTTTTAGACACTGACGATCCGCAGAGCCGCGCTCCGGGCCCTGGTCCATGCTGCACGTCATGGTGTCACTGCATCCGCACAGCGCTTCCGGGCACAATTGCGTCCCCGTCACAGAAGGGGGGCAGGGGCACCAGGAGGTGACACAGGACACAGGATCCCGGCTGTGGACTGCAGGCCGATTCAGAGCTGCACGGTCCAGGTCCCCATCTCTGTCCCCTGGGCTTGCTGTGACTAATAACAAATCCCACAGGCCGGGGGCTCAGACGACAAGCATCCTGTTCTCACCGTCTGGGGGCTGGGAGCCCGAGATCCAGGCGCCAACGGATTCGGGGCCCAGTGAGGCCCCCTCCTCACTGAGCTCACGGGGCCGGGAGCCAGCGCTGGTCTCTTCCCCCTCCATAAGGGCCCTGAGTCCGTCCTGGGGGCCCACCTCCAAACACCATCCCACTGGGGTTCAGGGCCTCGACGTTTGGTGAGAGATACAGGCATTCAGTCCATAACATCCCCAGGCTTATCCAGAGGAGGCTTGTCTCTGGTGAGGCCCAGACGCCCCACAGCCAGCTGGGTGTCCTTCCAGAGCAGGAATCTGCCGTGTTCCTCCCGCTGGGAAGCCTTCATTGACTCCCCAGTGGAGAAGCCAAGGCCGGCAAAATTCAGCCTCCCTCCCCTGGCCTGTCCCTGCCCGTCCCGGGGTGCGCAGAACCTCCCAATGGACTTGCCGTTTCTTACGTACGGCCTTAGAATCCACCGTTTCCTCTGCCTGAGACGGCTCACCTCTTCCTTTTGCGCCTGCTGGCAGGAATCTGCCGTGTTCCTCCCGCTGGGAAGCCTTCATTGACTCCCCAGTGGAGAAGCCAAGGCCGGCAAAATTCAGCCTCCCTCCCCTGGCCTGTCCCTGCCCGTCCCGGGGTGCGCAGAACCTCCCAATGGACTTGCCGTTTCTTACGTACGGCCTTAGAATCCACCGTTTCCTCTGCCTGAGACGGCGCAACTCTACCTTTTGCGCTTGCTGAACGCCTACTCGAAACCCCGCCTAAGTCTTTCATTTGTGAAACCTTCCCATCCCTGGAAGCAGACGGGTGCCCCGTGTGCCGACTCACGTGCTGCATCCATAGCTGTCCCCTTCCCTGTTAGGCTTTGGGTTCTCCGAGGGCAGGAACTTCCTTTACTTATCTCGGTATTCCTGAGCCAACCTGGCATCTTGAAGGCATTGTATGTTTGTTGAATGACTAAAGAAACTAATGAGTAGCGTGAATTCACTAAGCCGTCACTCTGTCCTGCCACTAGGCTGACTTGCTGGGCTGATTCACGCAAATTGTGCAGAAAGGCTTTTAGCTTGCAGAACTCAAGTCCTGTTTATCAGACAAGAAATAATGAAGTTTTGTTAGTTTTGTTAGTTAGCATTTAAAGAAAGGAAATGACGTTTCCTGGGGCCGGTCAGGAACGTGCCACGGATCAACCCCATGGGTTTGACCCAGTCTCTTACTTGGGCCTTAACTTTTCTTGTTTGCAAACGAGGGGAGCAGGGAATTAGATAGCTTTCATGGTCTTGTCAGCTCTAACGCCCCATGATTCTGTAATAGGCCTTGCTTGAATAGATCAGAGCTCAGAGAATGCTTGAAAGAAGATCTTGGTGAGACATTCCTCTGCCAGACAAGCAGCAATTACTTATGTAAAATAAGAAGGCAGTTTTGTAGCTTTTTTGACTTTTCCAGTTCTGGAGGATGTTTTTGTTTATTTTCACCGCTGATACTCTGTTTCGAGAAATTGATATTAAAGCTGTCCTCACCAGTGATAATAACAACCCATGGGGTAATGCGTGTCAGCTCTGAAGACCGGTGTCACTTATGTCACAGGCGTCCCTGTCTTTGTTTCTTTTTGCAGATGAAGCTGAAAGGAAGCTCAGTTCGGCTCTCAGATAAAAAGCTTTGCCAGATGTGCCAAAACCCCTTTTGCGAGCCCGTGTTTGTTAGGTATCCCAACGGTGGTCTCGTCCACACCCACTGTGCGGCCAGCAGGCACACGAACCCCAGCTCCCCCAGCCCCGGGGCTCGGACTTGAAGAGGCTGGGCTGAGGGCTCCTTACCAAGACGGCCAGGTGCACAGAGTTAGGAGGCCGCGTCAGCCGCCATCTGGTGCTGGGGGGCTTCAGTCGTGGGAAATGGGATGCGGCTGACCCCCTGCATCGGATGGAAACAGATAATCCCCGAAATAGAGGCATGCCAGATTCACCCGTCCAGGGACATCGCCACCCAAAACAGATGTCTGCTCTGAAAGGAAATGAGCCTTCCTGTGCCACCCGGACAAACCAGACCCCGCACCCCGAGCCCCGATCTGTAGACACATATTTGCACTGGAAACGTTTGCTCCGGTGGCACGGAGGGGACCGCCTCCTGGCGGGCGAGCGGCCAGGGCTCAGAGCTCTCCATCCTCACCGCCTGGCCACCGGCCACCCTGCGGGCTCTGCCTTTGCCCTGAGGGAGAGCTGACCTCAGGGAGGTATCCCATCTGGCTTCCAACCCCTAAAAGATCTGCCTGGGTACCCAGGCCCTCCCTTTGGGGTAAATTCATTCGCTTCTGGCTGCCTCGCAAGTGAAGGCTCCGAGAAACTGTGATGCACCAGAACGAGCTGCTCGCAGGTCTGGAGCCGACGGTGGGGACAGGAGCACACGGCACGTCGCCCGCCGGTTTGTAACTCCGTGATTAACGTGTTCAATTAGAACTTTTAATTTGGCGTTATATCCTCTTGGTGATTTTTCTCTCTTTTGGAAATTCACCTCTGTCGTGTTCGTTAGGGACGTTTTTCTTTGCACCCCCCCCGCCCCCGCATTGATTCCTCGAGAAATTAAAAGGGAAAGGTCGTGAGCACAAGCTGAGCGTGTTTCCGGGGCAGCTGGTGGTCACCTCCACACTGGCCAGGGCGGGCCGTGGGTGGCGGCTGCCCTGTGCGACGGGGATGTCACCCCTCCCGAGTGAGCACGCCCCCAGAGGAAGTCCAGGCAGGCTGCCTTACCTCTAGCACTTTACACGCCTGCCCTGCGGCTTCCTGGACACACAGGACAGACACCTCCTCGCATCACAGACCCCGCGTCCATTCCGCGTCTCTGTCCAGCATCGTGGAGAAGCTGACGCTGTTGTTACTTCACTGCCCTCTTCTGAATTTCTTCCTGGTGATTATCGACTCTATCAGGGACTAAGAAGAAAGATGCCATGACGCCTGGCAAACGTGCATCAGCTCGTGCGTGTGACGAGGGGACCCCGGGATCCGGCCCCTCTCCTTCGGCCCAGGCCTTAACAGACGGGGCGGAGAGCTCATCCTCCCTTCTGTGAAGACGCTTTCTGTACTGATCACGGTCACTGTTCTCTTTCCTCTTGTGATTCCAGGAGGTCCAGAAAGCAAAGGCATCCGTGCACTCTTCCCTACTGTGTCTCGACTTCTAAAGAATAAATGATGAAGAAATGCTTGCAGCTCAGCCGTGTGCTGTGTAAGCTGGTGTGAATGAAAGCCCAGTCATGAGTTTTACCCCGCAGATGGCTGTGAAGGAACGGCCACGTTACTGGGGACGTTACCATTATGACTCGTGAGTTTGGGGTTATCCCTCAGAGAACAAGTGACTAGGACACGGAAAACTGCGCCTTTAAAAGCACTGTTTCTCTCCACGAGATGGGTACAGTCCTGGAAAAGCCTTCTGATGGTTCCTTTCTCACTTGGGGGCGCTGGTCTCTCTCTGCTCTGAACATTGATCAATATTTTGAAATGTTTGTTATCCTTTAGAATAATGGGAACTGAAGTTGAGCAGTTTCTATCTCTGCTCTAGAATCCTCTAATGCAGCAGAATTCTCTGACCCTGTGCAGAATTGTTAAAAACCTTGCCTTTCTCTAACTCCCACAATGCCCTTTTCTCAAATCATATTTTTTAAAGAAATACGTGGTTGTTTCTAAAGACCTGCTCTCTTGTGATTGTGCCATTGGTTAGCGGAATTAGAACCATCACTTGGCCCTTGTGCCCCTGGGTCGGTTCGATGTCACCATCCTAGTTAAAATAGCATGAACTGGACTCAGCTGACATTAGTGTTCTCTGGGCAAGACTCTTCAATTTCAGGAGCTGGTTATCTGCTGTCACTTATCAGGTATCCATGTGGGAGTGGCACGTGGGCTACGTAGTCTTGAGCCCACGCTCAGAGCCGGAAGGCCCGGGCCTGAGCCCCAGATGTGCTTGCAGTAGGGCTCCAAGGGCCCTGGGTACCACCCTTGAGTCACTGCTTGTCACACAGCCAGGGTAACCTGGGCTTCCCCCTCGCCCGCCTATGGAAACCTGTTCCTTTCAACTTTACCCTTTGACCCTGGTTGGATCCCAAATATACAAGATGTACAAATGTAAACTTGTTGATTTTATTAAAATTCTTTTGATTCTTTGTCCCTCCTGTAATTGTTTTTTAAATAAAAGTTATCTCGGTGATGTGATGGTTTCTGCTCGCATGGCACCTAATAGCCCAAGGGGCCATAGAACTTAGTCATCTGCCCTGGTGGTGCCTTCCAGCTCCTGCAAAAGGACTTGCATTGGTCGTACCTCAGATCCTTTGGTGTCACTTCACTACATTTTAAACAATGCACTTTTTTTTTTTTTTTTTTTTTTTTTTTTGCTGCACGCGGGCCTCGTACCATTGCGGCCTCTCCCGTTGCGGAGCACAGGCTCCGGACACGCAGGCTCAACAGCCATGGCTCACGGGCCCAGCCGCTCCGCGGCACGTGGGATCTTCCCGGACCTGGGTACGAACCCGTGTCCTCTGCATCGGCAGGCGGACTCTCAACCACTGTGACACCAGGGAATTCCCTCTCTGCAGCTTTTTGCAACCGGGGAAGGGAAACAAATAGTTATAATGCAGCCTGAAATCCAGAGTCCTAAATTAGTGCAACAAGACATGTGGTAAGAAGGAATTCGAAAGCAACAGACACAACCCACAGGCCACGTGTGACTTGGGAAGTAAAATGCTATCACTAGGGTCTCACTGGGCTCTAGCACCGTCTGCTGTGGCCCTGGCAGGCCACCTCCCCTCGGCCGTGGTGTCATCCATAGCCTGGAGGTGGTGGCTGAGGACCCTCTGGGTGTTAGGCCTTAGTCCCAAGCCAGGAAATCAGGACAAAGCAGTGGGATGGGCCAGCCTGGGATACCAGATGCCGCTCTCTGGCATCTCGGGTCTCGTGGACGCGCAGGAACTCCTCTGCAGCGGCCCCGCGGATGTGTCTGAGCGCCTGGGATATCAGCTGCCAGAATCTCATTGCGTTGCTGCAGTCAGCAAGAAGGTCCCTCTGTGCAACCCACACCCCTGCCTCCAGAGCTGTGCCTGCAGCCATGGGAGGAGCTGGTCTGTGGCTGCCCTTTTCTCTTCTCTTCTTTCTTTACAATTGATTTTTATTGGCGTATAGTTGCATTACACTGCTGTGTTAGTTTCTGCTGTGCAGCAAAGTGAATCAGCTATATGTATACATATATCCCCTCTTTTGGATTGCCTTCCCTTTCAGGTCACCACAGAGCACTGAGCAGAGTTCCCTGTGGTTTTTGAACCTCTCTTTACACAAACCTCTAACATCTTTCAGGGAGGGAAGGAGATATGCCCGTCCCCAGATCCCTGGTCCTGCCCCTGCTTAGGTGGTTGGTCCTGCTATTATGGCTCGGTTCCTGCCTTCAGGTAGGTCACATAGCATGTGCGTGCGTGTGTGTGTGCATGTGTATGTGTGCGTGTGTGTGCCTGCATGTATGTGCAAGCATGTGGATGTGTGTGTGCGTGCATATGTGTGTGTGCATGGGCGTGGGGGGGGGCTCTGGGATGGTGAGGACTGCAGTTCACCACTTCCAACATGCTAATCAGGGAAGCAGGGAGTTAGACCAGCCCCTGTTTCCTCCCGTCCGGCTTCTTTGTCTGCTGCTGGGAGGAGTCTGGTGCTGTTCCCACACCTGCACTCAGACCTGTGCGGCGGGTCATCTGCAGGAAGCGTTCCCTAACTGCAGGTGGGCAGCTGGCTGTCCCGGCACGTGGCATGTGTGAGCCCCCGTAACCAAGCATCCCCTCTGCTCCTCTGACCGTAATTTCATGCAACCGCGTGTTGGCAACGTGCAGGGGCTGTGCCACCCTTCTGTTTGCGCTCGGTGTAATTTACTGGTGTAATTTCCAGGTATCTGGTGTTTGTACAAATACTAGAAAATACGCTGCTTTGTAGCAGCTGACAGAGAAGCTCAGCCATTCCCAACCCGCCTCGGCCGTGCCAGGGTGCACACCCACCGGGCCAGGAGCTGAGGGGCTAAAAGACTCACCAACAGCTGTACACAAGGTGCTAAGGGGGCGGTTTTCCTTTTTCAATCCATGCATTCATTTATTCGTATATTCATTCATTCATTCATTCATTCATTCCACAAGTATATAGTGGAAGATGCTCCGTGCCAGACATCGTGCTCTGTTCTACAGAAAAACTGGTGAGAGACACATCTGGTCTCAGCCCTGCTGGAGGTAATGACAGCCCCGGGGGACAAATGCTGGAGGACGCAGTGCCGGTGGAGCAGATGCACGGAGTTGGAGGGAGAGTGCTGCACTCAGGGTCGGGGGGTGAGCGGGCTTATGGCCCCGTGGGGATGGAGAGAGAGGATCAATGACTGCAGCCTGGGAAGGCGGCAGGGGACAGTGACAGATGAGGCTGGAGGCCGAGGCTTCATCCCAGTTCTGGGCGGAAGAGAAACATGGGTGTCGGTGCTGTAGAGAGACCAGCAGTCTGCCCACCAGGGGCAGCCTCAGCCAGCGTGTCCATCTGGTATTGGGTCCATTCATCTTGGTCTTTACATGGTTTTTAATTATATGGGAAAGGAGTCCCGCCCCCCAAAAAAGAAACAGAATGTTGGGGCCAGTTTATTTGGAGAGTCCCTTGTATTAATATATAGTACATGGAGGGCTTCCCTGGTGGCACAGTGGTTAAGAATCCGCCTGCCAATGCAGGGGACACGGGTTCGAGCCCTGGTCTAGGAAGATCCCACATGTCACGGAGCAACTAAGCCCGTGCGCCACAACTA